CGGGCGAAAACGGGAAAAAACCAACAGAAACGGGGAGAAACCAACAGGAACGGGGAGAAAACGGGCGAAAATGGGAAAAAATGAACAGAAACGGGGAGAAACCAACAGGAACGGGGAGAAAACGGGCGAAAATGGGAAAAAATGAACAGAAACGGGGAGAAACCAACAGGAACGGGGAGAAAACGGGCCCAAAACGGGGGAAAATGGGAAAAAACAGCAGGAACGGGGAGAAAACCAACAGGAACGGGGTGAAAATGAACAGAAATGGGGAAAAACCAACAGGAACGGGCCCAAAACGGGGGAAAATGGGAAAAAATGAGCAGGAACGGGGAGAAAATGAACAGAAATGGGGAAAAACGGGGTGAAAACGGGGGAAAATGGGAAAAAATGAACAGGAATGGGGAAAAACCAACAGGAACGGGGAGAAATGAACAGGAACGGGGAAAAAATGAACAGAAACAGGAAAAAATGAACAGAAGCGGGCCCAAAACGGGGGAAAATGGGAAAAAATGAACAGGAATGGGGAAAAAACGGGGGAAAATGGGAAAAACGTACAGAAACGGGGAAAAAATGAACAGAAACGGGGAGAAAACCAACAGGAACGGGCCCAAAACGGGGAGAAAATGGGGGAAAATGGGAAAAACCAACAGAAACGAGGAGAAAATGAACAGGAACGGGCCCAAAATGGGCGGAAATGGGAAAAACCAACAGGAACGGGGAGAAAATGAACAGAAACGGGGAGAAAACGGGCGAAAATGGGAAAAATGAACAGAAATGGGGAAAAAATGAACAGAAATGGGGAAAAACGGGGCGAAAACGGGGGAAAATGGTCAAAACCAAATGAAAATGGGGACTAAACAAACGGAAATGGGGAAAAAACACAAAAACGGGGAAAAAAAGGGGAAAAAATGGGAAAATAAACTGGAAAAAAGGGGAAAAATCTCCCCTCCGTGCGAAATTGTCCCTAAAATGTGTCCCCAAATGTCCCCAGGATGTCCCCAGGATGTCCCAAAGTGTCCCCAATGATGTCCCCAGGTGTCCCCAGTGTCCCCAGTGGTGTCCCCAATGATGTCCCCAGGTGTCCCCAATGTCACCTTTCCTGAGGAAGGGTCCCCGCCGCGGGTCCAGGATGAAGGGGGGGTACCCAGGGTGTCCCCAGTGATGTCCCCAATGATGTCCCCAGGTGTCCCCAATGTCCCCAGTGATGTCCCCAGTGTCCCCATGGTGTCACCTTTCCTGAGGAAGGGTCCCCGCCGGGGGTCCAGGATGAAGGCCGGGCTGCGGCTGAAGTTGCTCATGGGGTTCTCCCTCATGGCCCCGAAGGAGGCGTTGGCCACCACGGCGTCCACGGCGGCCGCGCTCAAACGGCGACCCAGGAACGCGCAGAGCCGCTGGACACTGCCCCGCAGGTCCTGGGGACATTGGGGACATTGGGGACACCATTGGGGACATTGGGGACACTCAAGAGAATTTTTGGGGACATTGAGGCGACATCGGGGTGACCCTGAGGTGACCCTGAGGTGACACAGGTGACACAGCGGGTGATACTGAGGTGTCCCCAGGTGTCCCCAGGTGTGTCCATGATGTCCCCAGGTGTATTTCAGGTGTCCCCAGCTGTCCCCAGCTGTCCCCAGGTGTATTTCAGGTGTCCCCAGGTGTCCCCAGGTGTATTTCAGGTGTCCCCAGGTGTCCCCAGCTGTCCCCAGGTGTATTTCAGGTGTCCCAGGTGTGTCCCCAGGTGTCCCCAGGTGTCCCCAGGTGTATTTTTGGTGTCCCCAGGTGTGTCCCCAGGTGTGTCACCTGCACATCCGGGTATTTGCTCTCCACCAGCTGCTTCGTTCTCTCGATCATCTGGCGCCCGAAGCCGGTCACGCTCTGCGGGGACACAGGTGAGGCTCAGGTGAGCTCAGGTGAGCTCAGGTGAGCTCAGGTGAGCTCAGGTGTGTACAGGTGAGCTCAGGTGTGCACAGGTGAGCTCAGGTGTGCACAGGTGAGACTCAGGTGTGGTTCAGGTGTGGTTCAGGTGAGCCCAGGTGTGGTTCAGGTGTGCACATGTGTGCACAGGTGAGGTTCAGGTGTGCACATGTGTGCACAGGTGAGGTTCAGGTGCATTTCACCTGTCCCCAGGTGTCCCCAGGTGTCCCCAGGTGTCCCCAGGTGTCCCCAGGTGTGTCCCAGGTGTCCCCAGGTGTGTCTCACCTGTCCCCAGGTGTCCCCAGGTGTGTTACCTGCGATATCTCCAGGCAGGGCAGTTTTCCCGCCTGCGCTCCGGTGTGTCCCTGTCCCCAGGTGTGTCCCAGGTGTCCCCAGGTGTGTCTCACCTGTCCCCAGATGTGTCCCCAGGTGTCCCAGGTGTGTCTCACCTGTCCCCAGGTGTATTTACCTGCGATATCTCCAGGCAGGGCAGTTTTCCCGCCTGCGCTCCGGTGAATCCGTAGACGGAATTTGCGCTGACCTTGAGCGCGAGCTGCCGCCCGTCCAGCACCTGCCGCCGCTCGGGGTCCTGCTCCTGCGCCAGCGCCGCCTTCACCCTGCGGGGACGGCAGGTGAGCGCACCTGGGCACAGCTGGGAACAGCTGGGATCCAAAATTCCCGCAAAAATCCCAAAATTCCCGCAAAAATCCGCACAGAAATCCCCAAAATCCCCAAAATCCCCGCAAAAATCCCAGCTCGGGTCCTGCTCCTGCGCCAGCGCCGCCTTCACCCTGCGGGGACGGCAGGTGAACGCACCTGGCCACACCTGGGCACAGCTGGGAACAGCTGGGAACAGCTGGGATCCAAAATTCCCAAAATTCCCACAAAAATCCCCAAAATCCCCGCAAAAACCCCAGCTCGGGTCCTGCTCCTGCACCAGCGCCGCCTTCACCCTGCGGGAACCGATCCCTGATCCTGATCCTGATCCCATCAATCCCGATATTCCCAGAATTCCTGATATTCCCAATCCCAGAATTCCTGGAATTCCCAGAATTCCCGATGTTATTCCCGTTATTCCCACCTGCTCCTGGCGGCCAGCAGCCCCCGCAGCACCCGGGGCAGGACCCCGCTCCCGATCCCATAAATCCCACGAATCCCATAAATCCTGATGTTATTCCCGATATTCCCAGAATTCCCAATGTTATTCCCAGAATTCCCACCTGCTCTGTGCGGCCAGCAGCCCCCGCAGCACCCGGGGCAGGACCCCGCTCCCGATCCCATAAATCCCATAAATCCCACAATTCCCAGAATTCCCAGAATTCCCGGTGTTATTCCCAGAATTCCCAGAATTCCCAATGTTATTCCCGGTGTTATTCCCGGTGTTATTCCCAGAATTCCCGGTGTTATTCCCACCTGCTCCTGGCGGCCAGCAGCCCCCGCAGCACCCGGGGCAGGACCCCGCTCCGCACCCTCGGAGTCACGAAGAGCTGCCCCGTGGGCGTCCGGATGAAATCCTCGGGGCCCAGCCTGCGCCACGCACCAGGACCGACCAGTAAAAACCAGTACGGACCAGTAAAAACCAGTTCGGACCAGTAAAAACCAGTATGGACCGGTACGGACCAGTACAGACCAGTAAAAACCAGTTCAGACCGGTACGGACCAGTAAAAACCAGTACGGACCAGTAGGGACCAGTGCAAACCAATATAGACCAATATAGACCAGTATAAACCAGTGCAAACCAACCCAAACCAGTGCCCCCAGTGCTCCCAGTGCTCCCAGTGCCCCCAGTTCCCATTCCCAGTAGCTCCCAGTAGCTCCCAGTGCCCCCAGTTCCCATTCCCAGTGCTCCCAGTGCTCCCAGTTCCCATTCCCAGTAGCTCCCAGTGCTCCCAGAGATCGGAAGAGCACA